TAAAGTAAATAAAGTAATAAGTTAGTACGTAACTAACCTTACCTTAACTAACTAAACAATAACTAATAAAATAACTAATAATATTATTAGTTATAGTATAGTATATATATATATATATATATATATATATATATATATAGAGGAAAACACTACGCAACGTCTATAGGCGAAAATAAACAGTGATTTCGTCTACTCGCATTACCGTCTAAAGTTCATCGCGTGGTCATGATTGCTTGGTAGTGTTTCATTTTTCATTTTTTTTTCCTACAAATCGGAATTATTTGAAATTTGGAGTGCGTATTCATCAAAAATAGAGGAATCTTCGAAAAATATAAAAAAATATTTTACATGAATAATTTTTTTAAATTTTTTTTATTAAATACGCTTCAGTAAGACGTACATACCTTCAATTTCAGGTCATTATGATTTATAGAAAAAAAAAAATTTAAAATAAAACACTAGCGGATAATCATGTCCGCGCTATGAAATTTGGATGGTGATGACTATTCATTGTCGTCTATAGGCGTTGGGACGACTTTTTCATATATATATATATATATTTGAATTTTTGGTCAAATCACCAAAACCGGCTAAAATTAGAACCCGCAAGTGATGGGTTCCAAGCTAACCAGGTGGTTGCGATTTGAACCACCCGATTTTGCAAACACCGGGACAAAGTGTCTGCCTTTTTAGCACGAATAGCATCTGCAGGAGCATGCCCTATACTTCCCTAGGGTGTATTAGAAAATTTGGGGGTGTAGTAACATAGTGTGGCTTAAAAAAAAAAGAAAGAAATTCCTGATTTTGAGTTATTGAATATTTAGATCAGATTTTCCAAACGTCTGATGATTTCTATCCAATTTTAGGGCATATTTTTAAGTAGAATGCTAAAAAATAGAAAGTGTTGGAATAAAAAAAGCATAGTTAGAAGTAGTGAGGAAATATATAACTTATAGCTTCATTGAAACTATGCCCTTATCGATCAAGATTTATGCAGACGACCCAATGAGTTGAAAAAAAGCTCTGATGATGATATTGATATTTAGAGGTTCATCGGTAGGATGAAGAGGTAATATTCTAAAAATTTGGTCACCTAAAATGTAGGTTTTACTTGAGGAAATGAACGAAGGAAATGATTTTTTTTGCGTGGGGATTAGGCTGGGCCTTTTGCAACGTGCATGGTTATGTAAGCATGCTCTACACTTACTTTCGGGCCAGTGGTATGTCATGAAGGATTTTATCAATCTTGCTTTTAGGATCTTTCTATAATAATACTTCCAAAAAAAGATGAAAGTAAAATTTGAGTTCTTAGACATACCATCCAAAGTTCCGTGACCCTCCAACGTTTTAGGCACGTACAAGAGTACTTAATTGATTTTTTAGAAAAAATATCAATTATATGGTAAAACTACTTCATGTAAAAGTTTATATAAAGCCGAGGTTCTAAACAATTAATTTAGGACCTACCTCAAAAATTTCATTAAAAGAGATTGTTTTGATGCCTAAATAGCCTCAATTTGATCATCTTGACATCAAGATACATAGACATGAGAAAAAAAAATGGATTTCAAGTTTTGAAAATAGTGCATCTTGTAATGCATTTTTGAACCATCAATTTTCAAGATTTTCAAAATTTTCATAGATCTGCTCGATTTACACTATTTTTAAAAGCTTTATATTTTATAATTAGATATGAAAATAAATTTTAAAATTATCATAAAGATTTCAAACATTAATACTACATTTCTCGACATTATTTGAAGGTGTGCTTTACTTTGATTGTTTAGAGCCGCGGCTCTATACAAACCGCACCCATGCATATTAGGAACAAGGTGTCAATGTATGCTTAGTAAATATGACTGGCGCTATAAACGATCAAGAACCAAATAGACTAAGGAAAATCAGTACTAAGGTTTAGGGTAGGATACAAAAAGATTTCGGGGTAGGATGTTTAGAAAATTGAATTTGGGTTATCTATATTTTCCTAAAAAAAAACCCAATTTCGAACACCAATCGATAATGAAAATTCACAAATATGTTTATTCAATCAATAGTCTTTTTATTTAGGATTTTCAATGATTTTAATCCAATAATTGTTTAAAAAGCTGAAAAATGGATCCAAATCCATGAAAAATGACTCACAGGTTCATTGTCGCATCAATAATTGGGTTTTTTACTAGATTAGCGATCGAATGGAGACCAGGGCGAATCCCGATAGATGAGAGGATCCGGAATGGCCAGTGCAAAATCCGATCTGGAAGGGGATTCCAATCCAGATCGTTTTTTTTAAAATCTTGCTTCTTCCTAAATAACTATTATGCCTCTTTTCCGAAATGACTATTGTACCCTTCCACATCACCTATGCATCTTCATTTGCGCATTTTGCCTGCTGAAACGTTGTTAATTCCATGGTTTCCCCATTCCTTGTTGATGATTGCAGAGCCAACATATTGCTCGAAACCTATCTGGAGAGGAGCTTCCATGGCTGAAAAACCTTGAAGGATCAACAATGGGCATGGCTAACTGTTGCCATCTCCTCCACATATCTCCGCAATTTTTCCCCTACCTCGAAACCCCTAGACTTCATCTCTCTAGCCACCATAGAGGCCTCTGCCACCATCTTTCCCTTCACACATCGTCGTCCCAAAAGCTCTAGATTCTCTATGGCCGCCCCTTCATTCTCTATACTGCTAGCAAACCCTAATGCATCCTCAAAAGAACCAGCTCTAAGAAAACCACTGATCACATGGTGATAAGTGCAGTAAAGAACTGTAATTCCTTCCCCTCTCATCGTATTTATCAAATCGATGGCTCCATCGAGTTTGCCGACTTTGCAAGCTCCGAAAACCAGAGCATCATAAGTCCTTGAATCCCCTTTGATTTTCTCTTGACCCATTTGACCTAAAAGCTCGGCTGCTTCATCGAGCTTCCCTTCGTAACACAGGCTAGAGAGAAGAAAATTATAACAGGCAACGTCTATATTGATCCCTCTCCCTCTCATCAAATCAAAGAGCTCCTCTACTTTCTCTTTCTCTCTCATCCTGCTAAAGATTGAGATCAAAGGGTGAAATGTGCAAACATCAGCACCGTGTGAATTCTCGAGCATTTCGTCGATCACGTGGCGGGCATCGCCAATATTCCCAGCCTTACAGAGAGCAGCAACCAGCGCATTAAACGCATTTTTGCGGGCGGTGCCTTTAGTGATTAAAGCTATGGTTTGGATTAGGGTTTGGAGAGAGATTGGAGAGTTTTGGTTAATGAATTGGAATGTTTCTGATGTGTTGAAACAGCCATGGCGAAATCGTTCAACGAGAAGAAAGACAAGAGAGGCAGGGTGGTTCGAGCGGACGGCGAGCAAAACTAGAGCATCGTAGAGTGCAGAAGTGGGTTTTGGGGCAGTTACAGTGGCCCATCTGAAGAAGGGGAGGGCAGTCGAGGAGGGGTTGGGCAGGGCAGATATGGAATTTGCAAGGGCAGGACTAAGAGGAGAGAGGGAGTAGAGAGAGTTGGATTGGTGTGTGAGGAGGTGGAGGAGGTGGCTAATGGTGGATGGAGGATCATGGTTAGAATTAGGGTTAGGGTTTTTTGTGGTGAGTGGTGGTTTACTGGTATTAGGGTTTCGGGGGATGGTTTGGGTGTGGAGACGGGATGTGAGAGAGAGGGAGCGGAGACAGGGGAGAAGGCGTGGCGGCATGGTGATGGTTTTGGGGAGGAGAGTTTGGTTAAGGGATTTTGTTGGGGTTTTTGTAAAGGCAAAAGTTTATATAAGGATGCAATCTTGTAATGTAGAAGTACGGATGCACGTAAAATTCCATCCGAAATGGTAGTTTTGACGTTGAAAAACCCTTTGCTTGATCATCTCATCGAGATGCATGACCATGAAAAACAAAAAGATTTTAAGTCTCGTAAATAACACATTTTACAAAATATTATCTACACAGTTTATTTTCAAGATTTTCATATGTTTATAGGTTTACTTGATTTTAACCATTTTTCAAATTTCAAATTTTATAATTAGATATAAAAATAGATTTTGAGATAATCCTAAAAATATTTTACATCAAAATTATATATCAAGATAAAATTTGCAGGTGCACCTTACCTCTACACCTATAGATGCATCGTATGCAAACTGCACCCATTAGAAAAAGGTTTATATAAGGTTGAAGCCCTAAACAAGGCGCACCTCAAAAATTTCAAGAGGCTGTTTAGATATCACACACCTTCAAATAGATCATCTCGACCTTGAAATGTATAGACGCAAAAAAAAAGAAAGAAAGAAGGATTTGAAGTATCTGAGCTATTAATTTTCAATATTTTCAAGTGTTTGTAGATATATTCGATCTATAGTATTTTTTAAGTTTTAAAATTTATAATTAGATATGAAAATAAATTTTCAGGTCATACAAAGATTTTTACTACTAAAAAATCATCTATTGTTAGGTATTGTGTTATGTTTAGGGCTCAACCCTATACAAACCATACCCTTTTAGTGTTAAGTGGGAATATTGAAGATTTAAAGGGCTCTCTCTCCCTCCCCCTCCCTCTGTTATGTGTCTTTCTCCAATGTGAAAGTTTTTCTGTCTCACTCAGCTGGTGGGTCTCTATGCTATAGTCAAACTAATCCAATGTGATAATTTATCATATAAGCTTTGGAGGTGTTCTTCATTTTGCAATGAAAGGAAAGTCGTCCTTTTGGAGGCCTTGGGTATTTTCTTAAAATATAAAAATTCAAGATTTCCAGTAGTTAGCAGTTTTTTAAAGAAAAAAGTTTATATGGAGCTGAGGCTCTAAATAATCAAATTAGATCCCACTTCAAAAATTTCACTAGAAGAGCTTGTTTTGATGCCAAAACATCCTCAAATTTATCATCCCGACACCAAGATGCATGGACATGAGAAAAAAAATAGATTTCAAGTTTTGGAAATGGTGCATCTTATAATGCATTTTTTTACCATCATTTTTTAAGATTTTCAAGTTTTCATAGATCTGCTCATTCTACACTATTTTTTAAGCTTTAAATTTTATAATTAAAGATGAAAATATATTTTAAAGCTATCATAAAGATTTCCAATATTGAAACCACATGTCAACATTATTTGAAGGTGTATTTACTTTGCTTATATAGAGCTGAGGCTCTAAACATACCGCACCTTTTTTTATTTTCTTGTAAACAAAAATAGAGGTCCACCTGCTGAGAGAGAGAGAGAAATAGAAAGACCGGGGATGAGTAAGAGAGAGGACCCCTGAGCATTGGAAGCAACCCCTGAATTTCAATGAACCTTACATAAAGACCTCATAGCAGAGGGAGGGAGGGAGGGAGAGAGAGTCCTTTAAACCTTTAATTTTCCGACTTAACACTAAAGGTGTGGTTTGCATAAGGATGAGGCCCTAAACATAAGGTGTACCTTTAAATAGTATTTTAGTAGTAAACACCTTTATATAATCTGAAAATTTATTTTTATATCTAATTATAAAATTTTAAAAAATACCTTAAAAATTCCTTAAAAGATATTGTTTTGATATAAAAAAACCCTCAAATTGATCATCTTGACTTCAAGATGTATACCTATGAAAAAAATGGAAGTCTAGGATAATACATCTTGCAATGTATTATTTGGGACGTCAATTTTTAATATTGCCAAGTGTTTATAGATTTTTAATACTGGGAACTTGTTTTCATGATTAAATAGTTTTATGAAATTTTTCAAATATAAAACCTTATTCTTGTATTTTTTGGATTTCACGTACTTTCAAATCGAAAGAGGGTGAAGATGGGCAGATCGAAATCATATACTGTCATGCATGACTCTACCTAAATATAGAAATAGAAATGATATTTAAAGTATTTGATGCTTCAATGACTTGATCACGCACTTATTTCGACTCCTTTCATCACCACCTTGCATAATAGTGTTATGTATATCTATATTACATTATTAAACAAGAGTTAAGGGTGGATACGTATTGCAAAAATAAGCCTAAGGTGCTCCTTTCATTCAATTAAAAATACAATAAATATTTGCTTGAGCTGAGAGATATATATTGTGAAATATAGGAACTAATGAAGGTCCCAAACCTTATTACCTATTTAGATCAAACAAAAGTGGTTTATCACCCGTTGCATAATAGTGTTATGTATATCTATATTATATCATTAAACAATAGTTAAGGGTGGATACGTGTTGTAAAAATAAGCCTAGAATATTCCTTTCATTCAATTAGAAATACAATAAATATTTGGTTGAGTTGAGAGGTACATGTTGGGAAATATAGGAATTAATGAAGGTCCTCAACCTTATCACCTATTTAGATCAAACCAAAGTGGTTTATCACCACTTTGCATAATAGTGTTATGTATATCTATATTACATTATTAAACAAAAATTAAAGGGCGGATACATATTGCAAAAATAAGCTTAGGGTGCTCCTTTGTAGAGATCGATATTGTGAAATATAGGAACTAATAAAAGTCCCAAACCTTATGACCTATTTAGATCAAACAAAAGTGGTTTATTATCCCCTGTCATAATAGTGTGATGTATATTTGTATTACATTATTAAACGAGAGTTAAAGGTGGATACGTGTTGTGAAAATAACCTTAGGGTGCCTCATCTTTATTTTAAGAAGCAAAGATGTGAGAGAGAGAAGAGACAGAGATGCGAGAGAAGAGAGACAGACGTGAGTGTGTACGTAAGAGAAAAAAAAAGAAGAGAGAGAGAGTATTTTTAAGAGAAATATGAGAGAGAGGGAGAGAGAGAAGAGACAGATGTGAGAGAGATGAGAGAGAGGAGAGAGACGTGAGTGTGTATGTGAGAGAAATAAAGAGAGAGAGAGAGTGAGTGAGTGTGTGTGAGAGAAAGAGAGAGAGTACATGAAAAGGAAACTATACAAAACATTGAGAGAAAATTAAACAGAAAAGTAGGCTTCCATATTTAGGGAAGAGAGAGATGATCACGTGAGAGAATAAGATTTGTAGCAATTTTAAAATACAATTAATGTATAAATAGTATTTCAAATACTTCTATTAATTCAATTGTAATCATATATAATATAGATGTATTTTATCATGTGTTGTTATTTTTTTAATGTTTGTGTAATATTACATAATATTTACATATTTAGTAACTTTATTTTCTATGGAGTCCTACAATATATTAGAAATATCTTCTATTAGAAATCTCGTGATAGTATTTACATGTTATAATTCAAAACTTAAAAAGTAGAAGTCTATGTTATAGAAAAGATGCTCCACTATCCAATGTTTTATCCATATCAACGTAATTTTCTCTAATTTATTAAGCTTTATTTTCATATGTTGTTCTATTAAATGAGATTATCTAAAGTTTCGTGCTGCCTTACTAGTTAAGATTAATCTATATAGCATATATAAATTTTATATGCTAGTTTGCAATTTTACATACATAGGTGCCAGACGTGTTGAGTAACTCGACCTTGCCCAATAAATTGTTCAAAGTATAGAAGAATGTTAGAAAATACTAAAATTTGGTAAAAAAAACCAATATATTTGTGAGAAATATATTTTTAAAATTTTATCAAAATATTCATGAACTATTTAACCTAATATATATTTATAACTATTGCAACCCATTATCATGTGCTTTTTAATAGATATTTTGAAATTAAATCAAATCTTACAGGAAAAATATTAAATAGTTCAAATTTTAATTTTTCTAAAATTTTGAAGTTAGAAATAAAATATTTCAATGATCTACTTTTTATAGATTTTTTTCACCCTCTTTTGAACTTCTAATGATGTTTACCTCTTTTAATTTTTTCTGATTTTTAACTATTATTTCCTTTATTCTTTTTTTCCTTTTTTTTTAATTTTTTATATTTTGTGAGGCCTGCGTAACTCAACCAAGTCAGCTCCCCCCAAAGTTTGAGTACTTTTCGGCATTGGCCAAGGCGAGCTTTAAAACATTGCATATTATTAATCATTTTGAACTCAAGAGGACCCGCATTATTGACTTTTTAAATCTAATTTTATAAATTATTATTTACAATAAAAAATAACAAATAAAGATTAAACAATAATCATATATGGCCCAGTAAACGTTCTATAATTCTCATCAGTTCTTACTTCCAATGGTTGATAACAATTATGGTATCCTTATACCAAAACAAATAATCTTGTTATATATATTTCCATAAAAATATTAATGATGATCACTAAGATTTTAATAGCAATGGAAAACTAAGGCTGAGAATATCTTAGATCGGGTTCGGATCCACCAGATTTGGATCCAGATCCAAAAAGTGCATCGGATTTAGATTTGACTATGGATCCGATTGGATCCAAATATTCAGATCTGGATTTGGATTCAAACCTATATATAGGATCCAGATTAGTTCCAATTTTGTCTATTATAAAGTCAAAATTTAATTGTAAAAAAAATAATTATATATATATTGTATATATAAATTAATAAATATGTACATTATATTATGTATGTATGTGTGTGTGTATATATATAATTTTAAAAAGGTTTGTATAGAGTTGAGGCTCTAAACAATCAAATTGGAACCCACTTTCAAATAGTGTCAAGAAATATGGTTTCAATACTGGAAAGTTTTGTAATAGTCTTAAATTATATTTTCATCTTTAGTTATAAAATTTAAAGCTTAAAAAATAATTTAGATTCCAGCAGATCTATGAAAACTTGAAAATTGATGGTAAAAAAATATGTTACAAGATGTACCATTTCTAAAACTTGAAATCCATTTTTTTCGCATGTCCATGCATCTTGATGTCGAGATGATCAATTTGAGGATATTTAGGCATCAAACAACCTCTTCTGGTGAGAGTTTTGAGTTAGGCTCTAATTGGATTGTTTAGAGCTTAGGCTCTAATTGGATTGTTTAGAGCTTAGGCTCTACATAAACTTTTTCCTTTTAAAAAAGAACTAGATCGGGATCCACCTGTGCACTCGAATCCGACCCAAAGTACTATTCAGATCTAAATTTTAGATCCACATTTTGGATCTATAACCAGGATAGGATCCGAATTTGAGATTTCGGATCGGGACCGGGTAAATCCTCAGCCCTAATGGAAAACATTGCAAAATAGTAGCATTATTGAGCAGGCCAAATAGATTGCACATAAGCTTTGCAAGGGAAAATGAGAAAAAAGGATAGAGCATATGCGGATAAAAGGATATGGGAAAAGATGCTCAATATCCTTTAAAGCCTTCCCATTGGTTCTCATCCTCACGACCCATCTTAACCACACGTTGCGCAAAATCTTCTCCACCGCTCCTTCCTCTACAAACAAACCTCTCTATTCGTCGAGCACAACCCCAATTCCTAGGTAGAGAGAGAGAGAGAGAGATGGCTGCTACAGTGGGCACCAGCAGTGTGGTAAGACCATCAACCTTTCTCCTTGGACAGGGGAAGACACTCAGTCCTCTCAGGGACAACATCTCTTTTGGCAATGGAAGGTTTACCATGGTAACTAACTCTCTCTCTCTCTCACACACCCACATTCTCACACACCCATATCCACACTCTCTCTCTCACATACCCACCCTCTCACACACAAAGCTCTCTCTCTCACATACACACACTCTCACACACACAAAGCTCTCTCTCTCACATACCCACACTCTCACACACACAAGGTTCTCTCACTCACATACCCACACTCTCACACACACAAGGTTCTCTCACTCACATGCCCACACTCTCACACACACAAGGCTCTCTCTCTCACACACACAAGTGCAAGTTGTTTTGGTGTGCCTATCAATTTTTTCAAATTTCAAACATTATTTGTATGCCATCCATGGTAGTAGTGCTAATCCGTGTTCAAAAAGTCCGACCGGGTTTGAAAAGCGGCCAAAGGCCGGGTCCGAGTAACTGATAAACTGGCATGTTCAATTTAAAGCATGTGATTAAATAAAGCACATCTAAATGGTGAAGTTGACAGAAAAAAAATGAGTTTTAAAATACTGAATTGTTGGTACTTTTTTAATTTTTTTGAAAAAAATGTGAAAAAAATATTCAAGGCCAAAGCACTTTCCCATCTATGATAAAATGACAAAAAAAATGATTATAAATAAATCTTTTATTTTTTGGGATTTATTTATATATATATTAAATACCGTGCCCCACTATCAAAACCGAATCGGGCCGGTTTGACCGGCTGGTTCGGAGTTGGACCTGCGGACTTTGGGATCACCTTATACTTTGAGCCTTTTTCAGTGTGCTTTAAGAAGGGAGGAAGATGCTACAAAATTTAACATAAGAAGGAGATAGAGAGAGAGGGCCGAAATCAAATTTCCAATAACTCCAAAAATTGGCCAAAATTTTCATTGAACCAAGTTTTTAGAGCCGACAACCAAATCTTATACCTTGCTCTGAAAATTCAATGCCAATTAACTGTCTATAATGGACGAAAAGAAATCGATTTCTTTATTGAACTGAAACTGAAATCTCTTTTCATGTTTGAATTGATTGAAGGGAAATGATCTATGGTATGGACCAGACCGTGTCAAGTACTTGGGACCCTTTTCGGCACAAACCCCTTCGTATCTCACCGGAGAATTTCCCGGTGACTACGGATGGGACACTGCCGGCCTGTCTGCGGATCCTGAAGCCTTTGCAAGAAACAGAGCTCTTGAGGTAATTTCATATATTCCAAATAATATAGTTGATGTTCTATGAATTCTCGCTAGATTTTGGTTGCAATTCATATAAGAAATGTAATTTTGACCAAAATTAAAGATTTTGGTTTCTGGGAAACGACCATAGAAAATAAAATACAAAGACATTTAAAGGAACTTCTGGAAAAAAAAAATGAAGAAAGGAAGTTCATATTTTCATTCTGTTCCACTAAATAGATTTTTATGAACTTATGCTCTTATAATTTTAAAACTTTATCGCTTACATTTTTCTTTTACAAAATTGATTACCCTTTAGCTTATATGTATACTATTTAGCTGAGCTTTTGCTTATAAAAAATACTTGTAGGGGATATAAAAAAAGAAAAAAGTCTCTTTTCATCAAGAAAATTAATTTTTCTTTCAAAAATCTAATGATCCTCTTGCAAGATTTTTCAGATAAAATTGAGGACATTTGCACTAAACTGAATCCAGATTAAGAGCATTGTCTGCTTAAAGTGCAGGAATGTATGAGACAGATGTGATCTTTCCCTCGTAAAAATCAAGATAAATAAATAAATTTTCCTTCTCTTTCGTGTTTCGCATTTTTTATTTTTGAAATATGCAAAGGGTTTTAAGTCCAGGGCATCTGTCTTGCCTACTTTTACTGCGGTTCAATAAGCTAAGAATCAAACCCAAGTTCATGGTGCTATGTTCCATTATGGCCAAAACTTGAGTTGAAAGCCCAAACCGTTGTTTCCTGCCAATATTGACTTTGTGATCCTATGAATGAACAGGTGATTCACGGGAGATGGGCAATGCTCGGTGCCCTTGGGTGTATAACACCCGAGGTGCTCCAAAAGTGGGTCAAGGTTCAGCTTAAGGAGCCAGTGTGGTTCAAGGCAGGAGCCCAAATCTTCAGTGAAGGCGGTCTCGACTACTTGGGCAACCCCAACTTGGTCCATGCACAAAGCATCTTAGCGGTCCTAGGGTTCCAAGTCGTGCTCATGGGCTTGGTCGAGGGCTATCGCATCAATGGCCTCCCAGGTGTTGGTGAAGGCAACAACCTTTACCCTGGAGGAACCTACTTCGACCCACTTGGCCTTGCTGATGATCCTATCACTTTTGCTGAGCTCAAGGTTAAGGAGATCAAGAATGGGAGGCTTGCTATGTTCTCAATGTTCGGTTTCTTTGTTCAAGCCATAGTGACTGGAAAGGGTCCATTGGAGAACCTCTTGGATCACCTTGAGAACCCTGTGGCTAACAATGCTTGGGTTTATGCCACCAAGTTTGTGCCAGGTTCTTAGATTGCTAGTGCAGCAGCATCCACAAGTGTCATTGTGAAGTGTCCATTTGATTCCCCCTAATTTGTGTGTGTGTGGGTGTGTGTCGGTGTATTGGTTTTGTAACTATGATGGTATCTCACATATAATCATGTAGTAATGTGAATGTAGTATTTAGATTTTGATTTTGAGGGGAAAGTATGAGCATCCAATACATTTGACAAATTTGGTTAATTTTTTTTTAAAAAAGAGAGGTGGCATCTTCCTGTATTAGCAACCATTGCATTTGTTTCAACGGAGAAGCGGGGATCTACCTTCTTAATAGTTAAGGAACACACAGTAATGCAAATGATATATCAGTTAAAAAAAGAAAAGCTAATTATATTTGTTCGGGCATTTTGGACAAACTTTCAAGGGTTTGAACCTTTACCCAAATTGATGTGTCTACCAATATGCTGAAGCCCAAGGGACAGAGAGAGAGAGAGAAGATCAGTAGCATGCACCTACAGGTTGAGCCATATATTGGGAAATCCTGAGAAACCGCCATCTAACTCATGGTATCGATCCCTGAGATGGACAATTTATTAGGAAATAAGTCGATTTTCTCCCCTTCTCAATTAGAAATAGAAAAAAGACATGGCTTGGTCCCAATCCTTGTTCATGGGTGAGGCCCTTTCTTTACCTTGTTAATTGAGAAAACAACACCAAAACTCCTAACAAATGCACTTGTTTCCAAATCCCTGTTGTGTAATAGGATTCTTGATTTGGTACAAATGGACCTTAATGTGCGGGCAACCATTCCAAAATGGCCAAAAATTTGAATTATTGAGGTTTGAGGCTTTGAGCTTTTTCTTTTCGATCACTTGTCTACAAGTCAAATTTCTTGGATCATTTGTATACTAACCAAATTCCCCTAATATAAAAATAATCTATACGAAAGTAAGGAGTTGAGGTTTACATTTTAGGCTACATCGCATAATATTCGAATCCATAGATAGCCAAAGAGAAGAAGAAGAAGACGACGACGACGAAGTTTGCATTATGACCGAAATATGCTATCTCCTGGTGACAGGCATTTACTGTAAGGGATCCCTGAAGTTTGTCAAATTGAGGTACCGACGCTCTACTAGGGTTTCGAGGGGATGGGGGAGCTTGTATGCTGTAGCCATGGCTTTGAGATCTAGAGATCTCCGTATGGCTTCTATGGAGAGACTTGCTTTTGAAGAAGCACTTCCCATGGATGGGAAGCAGCCAGATCCGAAGAACAATGTGGGTGCGTATTCTTTTCTTGGATCTGGAGGCAAGAACTTTACTGCTGGCTTTGGTGGTGTCAACGAAGAGGAGAGATACGATAAGGACCTGGCTTTCATGTCATTACTGGCTTTGGCGGAAAGGGCAGTCTTGAGCCCTATGATGGTGATCGACAACTAGCTGTTGTGGCTGGTGGTTTTCGCATTGTTACTGATCCTCGACCTAGATCTGAAGGTCTTCTTGACTTTAGCAATTTGGGTACTTCAAATCATATGGACACTGCCTCTTTGGGTGCTTCCAAGCCTTTGGATGTTGTCTCCTCTAAGCCTTTGAATGTTTACTCTTCCATGCCTTTGGGTGATTCCACACCTTTGAGTGCTTTCAAGACATTGGACCCTTCTAAGCCTTTGGGTAATTCCAAGCCTTTGGATGTTACCTCTTCTATAGGTGCTTCCAAGCCCATGGACGCTGATGTTGGACCTTTTGCAGCTTCAAGCTTAATGTCGTCCATGATAGATGACTCTATTATGTCTTCTAAGTTTCTTGATGGCCTCATTAGCAAAACTACTTATGATCGTGAGGCAATTATGGGCCGTGCGATGGATGACCATGATGAAAACCTCTCCCCTCATTGTGATCTTTCGTTGGGTGTTGATAAATCTCATCAGCTTTCTGTAGACGTTGTTGTGAAAGTGTTTTTGCGTGAAAGTTATAGCAACTTGAGTCATGATGATGGTGGTAATCAGAGTATTGCAGCCAATGAAGAAGCCCATGGAAGTTAGGCTCTACAAATTGATGGATTTGGTGCAGGCTTTCCTATGGTTGCTGATGCACATGGCAATCATAACATCGGCAGAGTGATGGCTGAGATTACTATGCTTCTGGTAGTCTTGCTGCTGAGGGTGTTTTCATGAGTACTCATGGTCCTCTACATGAGCTTTCTGGTGGTATTGTGGCTGGGTCTTTGGACATTCTAGTTGATGAATCTGGTGGGGTCTCTATGATGGATGATGCTCTTCATAACATCGACAAAGTGGTGATTGATCTAGGTATTCTCGTTGATAAGGATATATCTATGGGTGCTCATGGTCATATACCTGGGTTTTCTAGAGGTATTATTTTGAATAATGACTCACTTCATGGTGGTTATGTGGGAGTATGCAGGTGCATGGGTGAATCATCAACGTCTACTGCTGGCAAAGATGTGAGGGGAGGTCATAGTCTTAACCTTTCATTGACCTCTAATGCATATTTGAAAGATAAAGGTAAGGGCACTCTCAACTCATTATCTTTGAATGATCATAGTGTTATCAATGAATTAGATAAATTTCCTCCTTTGCGGTCTGAATCTAAGAACTGTGAGGGGTCTCTTGTAACCCCTAATTGTTGGGACCCAGAAAGCCCATGGATCTTCTTTTTGGAGCAAAAGAATTCCAGAATAGTGTTTGTTATTTTGACAATTTGGACATTACACCAACTAAAACAATCAATGGCAGATGTTGTGTGCAAATTGAACTGGAGCTCATTAAGTCTTGCTTTGAGAAATGGGAAAATTGGCTCCTAGGGTATTTCCTGGGACATAGACCAGAATGGATGTATATAAAAGGGATGTTACAGAAGACGCGGAGGCTCAAGAATGAGCTTGAAATATTTTCTATTGGTGATGGGTTCTTGATATTTAGATTTAAATCAAAATAGGAAATAGAAGTAGCACACATTGGTGGCCCTTGGTTTGTAAACAAAACGTACATGACAGATTGTCCCAGTGTGGATAAAATTGCAAACCTTCCACTCATTTTCTGAGAGCTAAGGATTATATTTTGTATTGCGTCAAGTGTAGGAAGGCCCATTTTTATGGACAAACCTACAAAATTGCGATCGCGACCAATGATCTGTGTTGCAATGGATGTGAGTAGCTCATGTTTAATGGATGTGTGGTTTGATATCCTGAACAAGGAGTACTAGCAAAAGATTGTATACGAGTTTATACCATCCACTTGTTCAAGATGTAATAGAATTTACTTATGGTGGATTTATGCCGATAGAAAGGTAAAGCAGCTCAAAGAAAGGCAAAAAATTATAGTGGAATAGTTATTGTGTTACCCTCGGGAGAGGAAGGATGGAAAGTCGTCAAAGGTAGAACACAAATGATTTATAAAAAGATGGAATTAGTGATTGATTATAATACCTTTCAGGCCCTAACTGAGGAAAAAGAGCTGGGGGATCTGACTGCATTGGGGATCACTCGGGCTTGTTGCATGGTGATGGAGTTTTGAATGGTGTGGCATTGGATATGTCTTGTGTTGACGAGGATATCATAAATGCTAATAGTTTGCACAAAGAGAAAGTAGAGAGAGTGACAGGTGCTGTTCATAATCTGAGCGATTCGCAGATTAAGGTTTTGGAAGTTGCTGAGTCGGGTGATATTGTTGAGATTGAGATGCCATCGTCTAGTAATGGTGAGGGTGAACTTGCATCTACGGCTGTCTTACCCTCTGATGAGCGCAGTTGTGTCCAAGAAGACTTACATGGGGATTCCCATCAGATTAAGATTTCAAATGATGTTGCTTCTTTAAAGGACAAGTGTAGCATGGACTTGGTTAGTGCAATCATGTGCAATAAATGATGAGCGTTCCATGTCCTCAGCCGAATTGAAGTTTAGAATGCTCTATGCTAGATAGAGCTAATAAGGTGAAAGGTCCTAATAAACGTATGCAAGATCATATTCCTAGGGAGGGGGTAAATAAACCACTGACGCAGTCTCAAATGAAGAGATATATAATAGTTATTGGTGGCAAGAAGGGGGATTCTCTTAAGGCACATTGTCTCCCAATTTCCACAGAAAGTAAGGGTTCCCTTAGTAAGCACTCAAACTAATACAATTTCCTATGTCTGTTGTTGTTTGGAATGTAAAGGGCCTTCAAGGCCCGAGTAGATTTTATGATATTGTTACTCTTAGAAACCAGCAAAATATTGGTCTTTTATTTCTTTTAGAGACTAAATTGCCTACGGAGTTGAATCGGGTATGGTAAAAAAAATGCTGGGTTTTTACAAAAATTTCATTGCAAATGAGATTAATGAAAGATCCAAAATTATGATGCTATAGAATCCATTGATATATTCAGTTAATGTGTTGGATGTTAATGATCAAATGATATCAGTAAAAGCTACTAGAATTTGCAATGGTCGTCTATCTATAATTTCAGGGCTAGATGCCTTTAATTCAGTATCTTAAAGAGCCTTGTTGTATAATCATATGAGAACTGTGGGGGCAGCTATTTCATAGCCTTGGTTAGTGAGGGAGGATTTCAATGCTTTATTACATAGCTCAAAAAAGATGGGAGGGTGCAGCTCTTTACCATTAGACTAGGGTGACTTTGCCCAAGTCATGACGAATTGTGTTGTATCTAACCTGGGAGTTGTCAGGGGATGTTTTTCTTGGTTTAATAGTCAGATCAGCAGGAGGTGCATAAGAAGTAGATTACATCGTGCAATAGCAATTATTGATTGGGTTCTGGCTTTTTTAGAATCCAAGGTGGAGGTTCTTCCCAAAGCCAATTATGATCATTGTCCGATAATGGTAACAGTTTCTGATGAGGGACTGGTCGGTCCAAAACCATTTAAATATTTCTCGATGTGGGAAAAACACCCTGGCTTTATAGATATAGTCTCTATATCATGGCAAGTTAGAGTTGGGGGCACGGCCATGTACAAGTTTGTGACTAAACTAAAAAGATTGAGGGCTGATTTGCGTACATGGAATAAGGAGGTCTTTGGTCATGTTAGTAAATCTAGTATGACGGTTAGACTCCAATTATCTTCTTTACATCATAGATTAATTTCAACTCACTTGAATGAGGCATTGATGTTAAAAGAGCAGGAGAGTACCTAGAGGGTTCAAATGCTTTTGGGACATGAGAAGAGACTATGGAGAAAAAAATCTAGACATAATTGGCTTAAGAACAGTGA